TGTATACAATCTGGGTCAGGATCTTGGAGAAGGTTACAATGCTTGATGACGTGATGACTGGGCTTTCCTTGCGTAACTAAAACCATTGTAATAGTGTCAGGATAGTTAGCGTCTGGTGACGGGATACAATGGTCTGGAGTGTCAGAATTCCGCGTACCACACTCTACACCCTTGGTACAGTAAAACTAACTCGTGCCTTGACTGCCCCGCACGGCAGTCACAGGAAGCTCGGCCCGGGTCACGGGGAGCAGGACCCTGACCTTAGGGTTGAGGTGACCTGATGTCACCCATTGACACTATGACAGCATCGCAAAACGACACCCATACACGTCACGCTGGATCAAACTATGTTTAAATGGTATCTCGACGTGAATTAAGAAATGACGTAACTCAGCTGTCGTGTGCATTCCGAGATGTCTTTGACGCACGTGTTTCGTATGAAGAGAATACCACAGTTTTGGTTTGCCTCTCTAATCTAGATCAACACCATATGCAGAAAGCATATTCGTGATTTCGGAAAAATATCCTTTATACTTTAACACGTGAAAATAAATTTCCTACACGTGTATTTATACAAAACGGCGGTGTACAAGCCAACATTTACTTCTGTGCTCCGTCTATTATTTCTTGTATTAATAAATCATAAAACTGAATCAAGTTCTGTTTAAAATTTTCATCTCATCCACCCATCACAATGTCCCTTTTCAAATCGCTCTTCCCTCCCCTAACTGTTATTCGTATCCGTTCTCTTATAATAATCGCTCCCAAATCTCGCATGTTCCGTCATCTCGACTGATGGGGTAGGGAGGGAGTCGATGTGATTGACTGATGAGGGCAGGGAGGGACGAGGAGTGGAGATGTAGAGGACTGATGGGTAGGAAGGGGGCGATGTAATGGACTTATGGGGGCAGGGGGGACGAGGAGGGGAGATGTAGAGGACTGATGGGTAGGAAGGGGCGATGTGATGGACTTATGGGGGCAGGGAGGGACGAGGAGGGGAGATGTAAAGGACTGATGGGTAGGAAGGGGGCAATGTGATGGACTGATGAGGGTAGGGAGGGGCGAGGAGGGGAGATGTAGAGTCCTGGTGGGTAGGGAGGGGACGATGTGATGAACTGATGGGGGCAGGGAGGGACGAGGAGAGGAGATGTAGAGGACTGATGGGACGATGTGATGGCCGTCCCTCCCTACCCCATCAGGCTATCACATCACCTCCCACGTCCCTTATTCCCCACTAGTCCATCATATTGTTCCTCCATTCCTCTTCACTCCATCACCGCGTCCATCATATCACTCCTTGTTTTCCCCATTCCGCCTACACTGTCCCCAATCCCGATATGTTTTTCCCACAGTTATGTTTATATCCTAACATGTTTCATTGATAAAACCAAACTCTCGCTCAGAGAACTCCCGCTGATAATCCCAATGTGTCTACAACTACATTTCAAATTTGTTATTTTTCTGCAAGCAAGTTTTTTTTTCTTTTATGGTGTTGGCTATGGCATTCAAAATGTATAAAGTTACTATTGAAGTAGGTTTTCAACGGGTGATATCATAGAAACGCTTAATGCATGCAGTTAAATTCACTAAGCGTTGTAATGATACTGTAAATTGATGATTATTTATTGTAATAAGCGTCGTTAATATTATTTGATTTAATCACCGTCAACTGATAATTTTTGAACTGTTTTAAGAACATACCAAAATGGATAATATTCTCACTTGTTCCATTTAACATATCTGCTAGAAATCTTCAATAGTTTCTGATTTTTTATTCCTTTTTTTTTAAACAGATTTCTAGTACATGTATACGACGAGGGAGCTGTATGCTATAATCGTCGTATAGAAACTGTTGAAAGCGCCTGAAATCTAAATATGAAAATGTTGTTTACCTAATTTTGTACCGTGTTCAATCGAAGTCCGTTATAGCAATATTGTTTGGGCCATTTATACCATGAACAGGCGGCGAATATATAATGATAAGTCAAAAATTTGATCCCGGTGTAGGGCGATATATTCCCGGTTATATGAATATAAATGTATTTACTGGTTGGTCAAAACTGATACATATAGTCAAAAATATAAGTGTATTTATTGAAGGGTCAAAACTTTGATCCCGGTGTAGGGCGATATATTCCCGGTTATATGAATATAAATGTATTTACTGGTTGGTCAAAACTTTGATCTCGTGGGACATATAGGGTGATCTATTCCCGGGCCAGGTACATGGATATAAGTGTATTTATTGAAGGGTCAAAACTTTGATCCCGGTGTAGGGCGATATATTCCCGGTTATATGAATATAAATGTATTTACTGGTTGGTCAAAACTTTGATCTCGTGGGACATATAGGGTGATCTATTCCCGGGCCAGGTACATGGATATAAGTGTATTTATTGAAGGGTCAAAACTTTGGTCCCGGGGTACGGATAGGGCGATATGTCTTTACTGATAGGCCAAAACTTTGGTCCCGGGGTACGGATAGGGCGATATATTCCCGGGCACATGAATAGGAGAGTACAAACTGATAGGTCAAAATTTTCATCCCAAGGTACGGATAGGGCGATATCATCCCCGGGCACAGGAATAGGAGAGTACATAACGATAGGTCAAAACTTCGAACCTAGGGCATGGATAAGGATAACAACATACTGCGAAGTTACGAGAAGCTTGATACAACCCAGGTGTACAGATAATACAAGAGGTACAAATAGTATAGGCTTCCGGAATGCATCCCTGCGATATGATGAAGCAATACATAACGGGTACATCATAGAACAGTACATCGGTCCAGGGTACAGGATACTTGAATGGACAATACATCAATCCCGGAGGTACGGATAGGGAAATGTATCCCTGTCATATGTCCAGGGGTACCGGTACATGGGACTACGGGTACCAAAATCACATCCGGTCGGATCATATGTCGGGTTGACTACTTTTAGATTATACCCTGTATAGGCTAGTCATAATTATCAGGTATAAATGTACTCTTGACACTACACAACGTACTTAGAATAGACAGGAAACGCTGTATATGAATCATTTATAGACAGCATACCTAACAGACTAACTGTTGATTACAGGTAGCAATTATTTCTACAACGTAATGTTTTAACAGTGATGCTTGCAGAACATATTTATATGGTTAAAAACAACTACACGAAGAAGCTATAGGGACATGGGCACCGAGGTGTACTCAGTATACAGCACGTGCAGTGCGGTTTTCACGAGACCTTACCGCAGTGTCATTCATACACGTGCATCGACCAAGTGACGTCTGTACAGGTATATCACTGACTTGAGTTTATGACTCGATATGTGAAAAGACCCCTACCCCCCCCCCCCCCAAAAAAAAAAAAATCGATTTTGTGTGATACTGGATGAAAAGAGTGAGTAGTTGGCAGTACTCCAGCGGCAGTATTCATTGGTGTCCCGAATTTACTAATGTCACCTCGGTGTAGACGGTCGTGTTTTTGTTTTGGTTGTGTCGTGTTTATTTCCGTGAAACAGCTGGTGTTCGTCGTAATACAAACACGAATTTGTCCTACAGAACCCAAAAGAATCTTACCGGGGTGATAATCAAACTGTTAACATACCAACAGGTTCGTTCAAATTCACACACCTGTCGGCGCTCGCGCCAATGAAATCCTCTATCGAATAAACACCTGTATTAAAATAGCATCGCATTGCAGCGCTATGATAATTGCTCCGTCGATTTTACTCCCGTACCTGTGTATTCTTTGTGTATTGTCGACATTGGTCGGACAGGTGTATGTAAAAATATTTGGCAATATGCCACTATTGTATGCGAGTTTTTATGACATATATACGAAGAAGATACCCGTTTCTCTCGCGTGCCGACTCGTGGATGGCTTGCTTCTGTCTAGAAAAAGGATTCGATTCGAAAGTTATTTTAAACTGTCCAAAAGAATTGTATTGTATTATATTCTGCTTGAAGTATACGATTTTGTGTATTGGACAATAAAAATGAAATTTGAATTAGAACCAGTCATTCCGAAAACTCCAATGCTGACAAGAAATGACATTTCTTATCAAAAGTCTAGAGTATGATCATATTTCATTTTTTTTTTTTTTTTCATTTCTTTTATTTATTATGACTTAAGACAAAACGTCCATGTGCACAATGACATAAATATTGAGCTTGATTACAAAATGTGTGTAAGCAGATCAGACATCAATATTATGTTCAGTTCTAAGTATACGATATAATCTACCAAAATTCTGTCACAAGTTTCGGTGGAAATAATGACTGTTCTCAATTTGTTGTATCCAATATCTATCTGTCTGTGACGGCCAACCATATTGTGATGAATAATTCTCTTTGTACCTTGAAAGTGACATTAAATTAATAAATCTGGCAGTAAACGTTCCGTAGAATAAATAAATTGATCTGCAATCGTCTTTGTGAAAACGCCGACTTCGTGTATCAGTATATGTGTATACCTTAATTTTAAATTTGTTCTGTATCCGTGATAGGCAATGATAGTAAACTAAATTAGCTACATGGCTGCTTTCCCGATGATCACCTCTTGTAGTGGCCTTTTCTACTCTGTATAAACTGTTTACTGGATCGTAGTACTACCGGTCGCCTAGATTTCATTCATATTCTAATATCAACTTTTTACTGGTCGCAACAGTCCGACATCTACCTGATTGACGTACTCAGAGTAGTAAATCTCACAAGCTCCACCCACCGCGTTTCCCGCCGTTGCCTGCTCACCACTTTTATCGTAGAAATATAGTTCTTTTAAAATGTTTATCGTACTAATTCATTTTTTTACTGTCGGTACTGTCATGAATTGGAATTATTAAACATAATAGTATGCAGTATTTATATGATAGAATTTTGATAGAAAATTGAAACAACATCAATATGCGTAAGTTTGACCTTGGACGGTAGACGCCATGCGTATGAATATAATTATGCATAATGTAATCCGCCGTCGTTTATGAAGAGGTCGAACTTGTAGTTGGAGGGCAGACTAGCGAAGTTGTGTCAGTAGTGCAGTCGCAAATTTGATTTTTGACAGTTTTCTTATATGGAATTTATTTCAAACAAGAAGGTACGTGTTCCATTATAAAGAAATACGTCATATGTAATACACGTGATTACAACATAATTATCATTTTCGGTGTCTTTGGTAACCATGTGGGATCTGTTCACGGGTGCTCATAGCCGGACTGAACTGTCAAAACCATGTTTGATATATTTTCTAGTGAAATAGTGTTTAACAACTCTTGACACCATATGTTATTTTTGACTTATATCGTATTGAGATATATGACATACGTTTGTTTGATTGAAGATGTGTACTTTCCCGTAATATCGATAAAATTCATCTTGCCGGTTCCGGTATGTCAGCCCATGCCTGTGCAACGTGGATATCTTGAAACGTTGCCAAGTTCCAACAGTATCCACCTCAGTTTGGTCATTCCACAATACAATTGTATAAATACCATGTCATACAATACTAATATTTGTGCTTAATCGTCAAACACTTTGATTTGTAAGATGTAACTTAAGTTTAATTCAAAATTTGTTATATTGAAAGGCGAGACTGTCGAAAGACACTAGTGGGCGGGGCCAACAGTTATCTGGCGAAGGTCTAGGTTCAACGAAACTATATATAGCATTTGGGTCGATACCAAAATCTTGCTTTGTATTCTTGAAACTATAACGTTTCTTTTTTATTAATCACAGGATGGTTGTACGGACTTCAAAAGGACACTCTCATCAGATGGAGAACGAGATGCACAAATGCCAGACTTGCGACAATGGCACAACACTCTGTATAAATATATGGAATAAATTTGATCTTGGACCACCAACACCTCCAGGTTCGCCACCGCATGAAACAATGCCTGATTTTCCAGAACTAGATGGACTTAACTTTAATGATGATGTTGAGTTCTTTGACAACAGAGAGGAAGATGTGCTCGCCACAATGAAACACATATTTGCTGAGGGCACACCTTTGAATTTGCAATCCAAATTGATCCAGGATTGTATGTGGTCAGGGAATTTAGCCAAGGGATATGTTGAACAGAAATCGAACTGTAATTCATCATTGGATACAAATACTGTTGCAGATTGTGTAGACCCAACATCAGTTTTTCCCTACCCAATGCATAACATCACTGACAAATATATGACAGAGACCAGGGTAGACAACCTACAAGGCCTTGAGACCCCTTCTGATTCAGGTAGGAATTTAAATTTCATTATCATTACTATTGCTTTAAAAATGAATGAAATTCTTGAAAATTGATATTTTACACATATTTGAACTTTAATGTATATTTATTTAAATATGAACTGTTCTCTTATTTTACAGAAGAAGAAATTGACGTTGTAACAGTCAGGGATCAGATGAATGAAGACTTTGAACCATCACACATCAGAAAGTCCACAACAATACCAGCCAGGTGTATAAAAACTGAACGCGAGGATAATGACTATGGGGGTGCTGTGAAATCCCCTTTGAAAAGTTCAATTACATTGAAAGTGAAAGTAGACTGTCCTACAGATGTGCACAACTACAGCCTTCCACATTCACACTCATTGAAACGTGTGCGTTCCAGTCCAGTGTCACCATCAAACTCTATATCATCTTCTAAACGGATTAAACGTGAATTAAGTGTTCCAGAATTTCAAAAAACTCTCTGTCAAAAGCTCTCTCGGGCAGGAACACATAGTGGCTGTAGTAGTTCTTGTTCCAGTAGAAGCAGCTCAGACTCTGAGGAGTGTTGTGAGGGGGGTAAACGGACTCAACATAATGTGTTGGAAAGGAAAAGAAGAAATGACTTGAAATATAGTTTCTTCACACTCCGTGACAGTGTACCAGAACTTTCTCAGCAGGAAAGAGCTCCAAAAGTGTTAATATTGAAAAAGGCTGCTGATCATATACACAGACTCAATCATGAAAGCTTAAGATTGGAAAAAGAAACAGACTTGCTTCGTGCTAAACATGATCAGTTGAGAAGAACTTTGAACAAACTTCAAGTTAGGGATTTTTAATGTGTGATACTAAATGGCAATTTGTGGTTATATCTGTGTGGTATTGAAATATATACTGACAGGGAATTGTGTTCATTATCCAGGGATGTGTTCAATATATTTTATATCTGTGTGATCAGCTGTCACTATATATCACTTATATAAACTATCATGTGCTGTGTTATTTTGCATACCGTGTTATATATCTCAAGTTAGCTTCTGAAAGTGTTTTTTTTCTAGTAATGTGTGAATTGTAGAGCTCTATATAAAGCTGACCTTAGACAAGTAATTTAACCATAGCAGTATATATACCTCTCAAGATCTTGTGTTTTATCACAAGAAATACAAATGATCCTAGAATTGACAGTTGTTTACTTGTTAATTTATTTTCCTCGACATTTACGGGTGATCCAAGATAACTAAAGAGCCTATAATCATTGGGGCAAGAAGAATATGACATAGAAATCATCTCGAAATGTACAGTTAAATTTGATAACGAGGGTTTACAGCAGGTTTGATGACAATTGTTCAAGTCGATTCTTCCACTGTTTGTGCAGTTTGTCGTTGGGAGGTATTTTATAATGGTAGTTATTTTGTTGGAACAATTTGTCCTTCATTGATTTGTTTACATTTATATATATCTATTGCAATATGTTACCGAGTATACTGAGTTTTATAAGAGTTTTCACATTTTTGATTATTTTAGTTGGTCTGTTGGGTATTTCCAAGGTAGCACAGAAAGTTCTACTGCCTAACTAAGGTTTCATAATTCATTATTGTTATAAATAGCATAAAATCCATGATGTGAAGTCACAATGATGGTCCCTATCGAAAGTTTGGTGGTTGGAAGGTGTTAATCTTTTTTTGTGTGTGTTGTTTGAGCTAGCTAGTAACTTCAGTAGAATCAAGCTTTCAATGTTAAATTGATGACATCTAAAATTTAGAATTTTCTACTTGGTTCTGTGATTGCTCAAATAATTTCATTGTAACAATATCTTGGTCAAGGTATTCATTTCACGACCAGTGTTTCCTTCTAATCCACAGTGTTCAAATCTTGACATCAAACTATTGCATCAGAGAAAAAAAATACCCACTTTTGCATTCGAAATTTGTCATTGAAATTGCTGGGCATTAATGTACATTGATTTGACATTTGAAAAAATGACCACTAACTGCCAATTTGACTAACTGATTGCATTTTATATTTTTTACTGTTTTATATGAAACTCTTTAGTATTGAAGAGTAAATGGGTTTATACTGTTAGTTAGCTTTGCTATTTGTTATAGAAACAACATTGGTTAAACCTATTGTTTCTTGCACCTTTTGTTCTAAGAAGTGATTGTTTTGTTGTCTGTTGTAAATATACACAATCATGAATGATGGAAAACCTTTAAAATTTGTGTTTTTTCGTGTGTGCAGGGGATCTGCATATATATATATATATGTGTACTTGAAATATAAAAAATGCACTTAATTAACTGGTAAATATTACCTTCAATGAAATTAAAAACTAAAGATTAACTTGTACATACGTGTTTTATCGTCATTTCAATCGTGGAATTCTCTAGAAGATGAACAGAAATACAAGCTAAATAGGAAGGAGGTCGGAGGCAATACACCAGACTTGAGGAATGTAGGTCACGCCTGTGCTATGTTATGACATTTTGGCGGGAAAACGTGTATGACTAACCTTTCGTGTGTTACTATATATGTGTGGTATTCTGCGAAAGCGAGCAGACCACAACAGATGTATCTGGTGACTGGATTTAAGTCTGCCTTCAAAGTATATGTCATTCACAAGAAGTATATTCACCTAACAAATAGCGGCTAATAAACCCGTTCAATAAAGACATGGTAATGATATACAATATTTTATTACACTAGCAAATATGGTGATGCGTTTACGTCTGATGCTACCGGTTGTTCCATAACAGATTCACCGCCAAACATGGTTCGTCACAAGCATAGTCAATGAAAAGATTTGCACTAATACTGAAGTTCAACAATAAAGTTAAACGTTTCGTTGACATTACATGAAGAAGGGAGTCTGAATGTCTATACAGGGTTTCACACGCAAAATGACACTGAAACTTAATAAATAGCCAAGTAAAAGGAATATTTGTAGATAACACCGTTTTGATTCAAAACCATATTTAACCTGGGACATAGTCGGCATCACAGTTGATCAGAGACGTGTTTGTCGTTATGTACACGGCTGTCATAATACATAAACTCCGCTGAATGGGGAATCACTGCGGCACTGAAAGTTCAACCATTGCATATGTTGAACGGACTTTCAATACCATACGAGGCGACATTTAAACTCAACAGCGTTAACTTTTTATTTTAATTTGCATGTTTATCGATTAGATTCGTCAAAGTGCTTTTATTTATACTTCCTATGACGAACCCATTAACTAGACTGCGTAGTTACCCATCTACATAGCCAAGACACATTCTTCCATTTTAAGACCATAAAGTTTTCGTTGTAATGTAGGAGTTCTTTGTAATACAAGAATCAATCTTGACACTGATTAAAACAACAACACTATGAAAACCAAACAACAAATCCGTGGGCTTGCCGGACAAACGGACCAAATGGAAGCCAAGTCACGTATCGATACATACTAAGGACACTTTACTATGACTCGGATGTTACTCAGAAAGCCAGACAACAGCCTTTTCTTATCAACAAATCAATCTTCTGCTTGTAATAGGAGACCATGACACTGTATTGAAAATGTGAAGAAAATTGCAAAATCAACGTCTTAAGATATTCTTTAACCACGAGAAGACGATAACTGCTCCGATTTTACTCGAGAAAAAAAATGGTAGAGCTATTAAATAGTTCTGGTTGAAATCGGAATTTTATCAAAGTTGAACCTTACATAGACAAACAAACTCCGGAACAATAGGTCCATATCTTAGAGTGACAGCACGAGGTATTGTCCACTAGGACAACTCCATTAAATTCTATCGCGTTTTGATGGAAATTTTACAGAGAATGCATGCCTTCGGATCGCTGTAAGAACTTATTCCAAACCTAAAATAGTAATTCGTTCTGGCGTTTAATGAGAGGTCTAAATATCTTAATATAGGTATGGGAAATGTTTTTATATATATCTATTTTAAGATTTCTGGATAAGACGAAGTGTGTTATATATAGTTCCACAATATTGTCTCCCGGAGATGCACAGTGGACAATAGGTATTTCGCTTAGGTTATTCGGCTCACAAGTCAAAAGATTTCTCTCCGATAGGCATCCGATGGAATATGAATTTTATATCTGAATGAATTTGAATTTATGAAAAGAGTGTAAGGTGGGTTTTTTTTCTACAGTTGTTGACACAGGTAGGGCTCCGCGGCATCGATTGTGTAATCCTGTGCATATGGCCACTCCTATTCTACAAGTGCACGTGACCGCTCACGGGTGGGCATATATACCCCGGATATCTCTTACACATTCTGCACATTTTATCTCTTCAATTACCTTGTTTTTATCGATGAATGATTTAAAACAGCGACTGCATATATAGCAACGGAAAAGTGACACCTCTGACTTGTGAGAATTGATCAAGTCGATACCCCGGGTGTTATCTAATAAGATAGTGCACGGGATATCATCCTTCGTTCGATTGATGGATTGCATATGACAGTGTAGATAACTTTTGTTTTTCCCCTATGAACTCTGTTAGTGAACTCTGTCACGCATAAGGTGACAAGCTTGAGAAAATCAAAACATAAAATTACAACAAAAGATCCACAATGCCGTTACGAATGAAAGAATTCTTATCCTAACATGGTTAATTCAACGAAACACCTTTCAGCAAGTAAGCATACTTCTTTTGATGGAGTACATAATATAAATCTAGAGTACACCAATTTTTAAATAATTCATAGAAGACAGATCGAAATCTACCAAGAGTTTTTTTTTTCAAAAGATTTTATTTTAATAATTTACTCACCTGACGCCACACGAAAACGTGTGTAATATGAGGTCATATCTGGGTCGTATAATGCATTCTAACATAGGTGTTTAGACAATAATCGATTACGGATATAGTATATAGATTAGACGTTCGATCTTTGCTTAAAAGGGTGCTCAATGCGTATGAATCTAGTATACATCCCTCTTTGAACTGAAGTACACAATAACTTAATGTTAATTGTTTATGTGATTTAGGTACATAGAAGAATACAAACTGGAAGTATTCATCGGGTGTCTTATAATCAATTTATGATATTTTTCTTTTTCGCGAATCGAATTTCAGATCCAGAAAGAGTTCGGCAGAAACGTGTTAGCTGTCAAATTACCACAGTTCGGCAGAAACTTATACTATAGGTGGCGTTGTTATAAACAAGATGGCAGCCTCCATGCGATTGCCAGTAGTGGTTGTTTTGGGATCAACCGGGACAGGGAAATCGAAGCTGGCACTTGAGTTAGGGAAAATTTTCAAAGGAGAAATCATTAGCGCCGATTCTATGCAGGTTACTGATATTTTTTAAGGGTTGACGATGAAATATATTTCCAGTTTCACCTCAGGTACTATCCTTAAATGACTACACGTGTACACAGATAATGGGTGTGTATCACCCATGTGGTGTTGTTGACAAATGAGGTTAGTACCTGCTGCAGCATATAACAGCAGGACGGGGAGACTGTCTTTATCTGTTTAAATCTGAAGCAAAAAGATTTTTGTCAGCAAGCTTTTTGCCATCGTCCTTCAAAACATATCTTCACAATATAAGCGATTTTAGACAGCCGAATAATTTCAAATTGAACTTTCGAATTTTCATGGCGAATGATTTCTATCACTTTCTGGTGTATGACACCAGTTTTCCACTGAATTAGGCTAATACAATTTTGCATTGTTCTGTTCTGTGGTTGGGAAATATCTCTACCCTTTACCCTTGTGTAGGAGTTTAGCGGGTCAACACAAGCTAATTATTTATAATCAGTCAAACTCTTACACTCAGGTATTCTTATCCACAGAACAGACTCAAATTTGATTATTTTTCTTGCATACTTCAAAAACAAGTAGCAAATCGTAGATTTTTGTGAAACCTGTACTTTGTGCCATCATGAATAACCCATGTAGTTGCTTGATGAACACTGAAAAAAATAGTCTAAGTTCCAATTGAACAGTTGGCGTTACTTAGCTATTGTACTGGAGGATGTAGATTTACTCACAGTATATATATATATTGTTGATATGGATATAGAGGCTTCAGCCTGCATCCATTATCTTTCATAATAAATCCTAATAAATGTAATGAGCATGAAAATTGCAATCAATTTTCAACACAGTTACATTACATAAAGTAATGATACTACCATGTTGTGAGTAGTAACATAGGATGTGCTAGTTGTTTTATTCCATTCCTAGCAACCATTGTATCACCCAGTGAAGTATGTAAGAATATTGTCTGTCTCCATTTCTGGATTTTGATCACCTTCAGAGACAAACAAAATTATATTCCTTAAAATCTCATGACTTCAATATTGAATATTCCATAGAAAAAAATGCTGACACTGGAAATCATAATGTCAGGGTTGCAGATTTGATTTTGGTAAACAAAGTGTATATGAGGAACTGTTATTTTACATGTGTAGTATTATGATTTTTCAGGTCTATAAGGGGTTGGATATCAGCACAAACAAAGTGACTGCAGAGGAGTTAAGACAATGTCCTCATCACATGATTGATTTCCTCAGCCCCCTGACCAGGAACTATACAGTGACAGATTACAGGGATGCCACTCTGCCTATTGTATCCCTTTATCAAGACTTAGTTATATAGAATAATTATATGGAATAGAATTCACTAATTGTTGTCTGTGAGGATCTATTTCTATACAATAACACTTCTTCAAAACTTCAACTTTTTTTTGGTGACACCATTTGGTACCAGGATCAGGGTACCTCTCTTATTTTCACTAGAAAACACACTGTTACATTGACTGTCAATTGTTCTTGAGTTGATATATATTTCTAAGAAATAAAGAAATGTGTACATCAGGCTGAGATCATCTTAACTTGGTAGATTAAGGAATATAGATTGTCAGTAGCACAGGAGAAATTTTGCATTGTTTCAATGGTCATAACCCATTCACAGTTATTGCCTTGACATCTGGAATCAGATCGACCGCCTACTGAAGCAGGAAAAACTTCCAATTATAGTGGGAGGCACAAGCTACTATATTGAGTCTCTCTTGTGGAACTTCATCATTACCAAACAGGTAAATCTTACTTGAATATCTAAAAAGAGGTGATTTTACTGTCACCAGGCAGGTAAAAATGTATGTAACTTGTGATTCTACTGTAAACAGTCACAAGACAGGTAAATCTGTATACAATAGTGATTTACTGTAAACAGTCACAAGACAGGTAAATCTGTATATAATAAGTGATTTTCCTGTAAACTGTCACAAGACAGGTAAATCTGTATACAATAAGTGATTTTACTGTAAACTGTTACCAGACAGGTAAATCTGTATACAATAAGTGATTTTACTGTAAACTGTCACAAGACAGGTAAATCTGTATACAATAAGTGATTTTACTGTAAAATGTCACAAGACAGGTAAATCTGTATATAATAAGTGATTTTCCTGTAAACAGTCACAAGACAGGTAAATCTGTATACAATAAGTGATTTTACTGTAAACTGTTACCAGACAGGTAAATCTGTATACAATAAGTGATTTTACTGTAAACTGTCACAAGACCGGTAAATCTGTATACAATAAGTGATTTTACTGTAAACTGTCACAAGACAGGTAAATCTGTATACAATAAGTGATTTTACTGTAAACTGTCACAAGACCGGTAAATCTGTATACAATAAGTGATTTTACTGTAAACTGTCACAAGACAGGTAAATCTGTATACAATAAGTGATTTTACTGTAAACTGTCACAAGACAGGTAAATCTGTATACAATAAGTGATTTTACTGTAAACTGTTACCAGACAGGTAAATCTGTATACAATAAGTGATTTTACTGTAAACTGTCACAAGACAGGTAAATCTGTATACAATAAGTGATTTTACTGTAAACAGTCACAAGACAGGTAAATCTGTATACAATAAGTGATTTTACTGTAAACTGTTACCAGTCAAGTAGACCTTATTCTGCATACAGAACAGTGTATCCAAACCATCACTTCATCACAGAACAGTGTATCTAAACCATCACTACATCACAGAACAATGTATCTAAACCATCACTACATCACAGAACAATGTATATAAACCATCACTACATCACAGAACAATGTATCTAAACCATCACTACATCACAGAACAATGTATCTAAACCATCACTACATCACAGAACAATGTATCTAAACCATCACTTCATCACAGAACAATGTATTAATAATTTTGGTGATGGTGTACAGAGTGACTAAAGAAGGTGTGGGCCAGTACTTGACCTTTAATGCCAGTTTCCTATATAAAGCTGATATAATATCACAATATAGATATATTTCAATCACTTGAAAACACTTAGGATCCACTTTCATATGGGGAGTTTCTGGACTATCTGTGCTCTACAATGTAGAACAATTTATGTCAGAGTAACTGACAGTAAAAGTAGAATCAGATATTACATTAGATACATGTATATTATGTTCCTGACAATGTAATATCATAAGATCTGTGAGGTTTTGAAGATATTTTGGAGTTAGATGAAAAAATCAGAGAAAATACTTTATATTGTTAACTCGTATGAACCTATACCAGTAAGTCATTAGGACCTCAGGAACTTCTACGAAGGTCATTATAATCAGGAGTCTCTGAAGCTATTTGTAAGGTCATCAGGGCCTGTACAACAGGTTTTGGGTTACCTAAGCCAAAGGCTCTTCATCAGCTCTTGTCTTCACCTGTTGACCATCATTGTGCATTGTCTGTCATCCTTTATGTGTCATCTGTTAACCTTTCATGTTTCCAGCTTCTTCTCAAGAATTTCTGGGCCGATTCCTACCAAATGTGGTCACTAGCATCAATTAAGGGGCATCAAAATTCCAAAGTTTGTAGTCCCCACTCTCCTCCAGCCCATGGGGTAGGCCCAGAATGGTGCAAAACCTGTTATTTTAGAAAATCTCCTATACTTGGAGACATAATCAAAATATATGGTTGTGATGTCAAAGAGTAGCTTTTGCAAAAATGCAAAATTCATAGTCTTTGGGTGTACTGTTTTGACTCCAGGAGTGGGTCAGTTTTTGAGTGGAGCCAGAATGCTGAAACAGCTTTAAAATTCCATTACATTTGAATCTGTCAACATGTTATACAGGTATTTGCATTGGAAAGTTTTGGGAAATGATGCAAAGATTCTGTTCCCCAAGTTTTAAGTTTCGGGGTCAAAGGCCATCAATACTTGGAAGAAGTAAAACTGCCAATATCCTCCAAAATCTTCAACTTTTGCACAATCCTATGCAATTTAATAGTTGTAGGGAAGGATGTGAAAATAATTTTGGCCTAAGTTTCAAGGCCACAGGGTCAAAGGTCAAGGAGATTTAGAATTAGTAAAACTGCCAATTTTCTCAGAATCATTAACCTTGGGATATAGGCACATACATATGAAGTATTATTTTTAATGTTGCACAGAACACCATGTCCTTAACCAAGACTTTGTCTGAGTGCCACATGCAGGTTATTTATGGGTTCACCTGTTTAAGTTTAGGAGGAAATTTGACTACACAGAAAAAAAAACCTGTAGCCATTGGGGTTTGAACTTTTCGCTCCTTGAACTCCAGTTACCATCAAGATCCTTTGGGCCTCTTGGTTAGGAAGCTCCAGGTTTATGTTCAGGTATAAAGTACTTAATGTGTTCACTTTAAGATGTATGCTTTGTAGTCAAACATCAGATTTCTTGCCAAACTATATTGAAATGCTTGTTGGGTTAGAAAGTTTATCATAGAACACACCTACAGGAACATTAATTACACTATTTTTGATGTAATATACTTTTTTATTGGTGTTTAAAATGTAAGTTTTTGTTCGTCAGAAAGGAATGATGTAGAGTAACTCTTGCTAATTCAGAATCTACTCTTTGTTAACTGACATCAGAGTAAGGCCATGGGGATATCCTAAAACTGATCGGTATAGCTGACAGATATTTACAATCAAACAACTGACAGAAGAAACAGTGACATAGGTAACAGAAAATTACAGTAAGAACCTAGTCAATGACATGTTGGAGTGAGTGCTCAGATAATGGGGTCACTGACAGACACTGTTGTAGTGCCATCACATTGAAATGTTATATTCTACATGGCAGAAAGCCATACTTTTTAATATTGACAGAACAATTTGATAATGAAGGAAATAGCTACACCAGTAAGAATTGGTTAACAGGTCTTATACTCTTGTGTAATTACTGCATTTTGAAAGAAATGGGGATTTATTGTTGTTAATTCAATAGTGTGGCTTTCAAGACTTCAAAAAAAAAAAAAGAATAAAATGTATTGATATCAATAATTATAGAGCTGGATATTAAAATTGGTTGAAATTTTCAAAACAATGAAATTTTATTTCAACAAATTAAAAATTTTCCATTCTGGATATAAAAGAACATCTTTACACATGTCTCATTGTTTCACAAATGAAAGGTTTTATGATCATGTTAACATACCATGAAATAATAAAACTATTGTTCTTGCGAAAATACAGTATTTTATATTAGAATAAATAAATGAAGACCCTCTACAGTCTTGAAATCTCTAACAGCAACCAAGAAGCCTACTCCTAGAACTGCCCATAGTCTGGTTGATATATATTCTGTTATAAATTTCTTATAAAAACTCCAGGATTGGGGTCAACAGAATCACAATTTCAGTTATATGATAAAAAATTTTGATTTTGCCAAAATTATTGATTTGGATGCATTAGTCACCAACGGTTTTTGTATAGCTTGTACTCCATTTATATCATGAAAACGTATATATGGAGCAGAGCTATGTCTTTCAACTGTAGACAAAATTAGCTCATAAGTTGCACCCTGACTCAAACTTTAGCATCTTTACAACATCAATATTAAAAAACATATAGGACTCTCTATACAGAATTGGAAAAAAAGATATTTTAGCACATCAAAAAAATGAATTTCTAGTCTGAACTGACATAATATGTGTGGCCAACATAAGTGTGACTCTAACCTTACTGGAATTTTCACGTCAAGTGATTAGTTCTCATTGTTAAACACCTTTACAAGGTTGATATGAACTAGCCTAGTGAGCTCCCACAGAGTAGATCTTGTTATCTAACAGGTTTATGTATACCTAACTATTACAAATGTATTTATAATTAAGAATAGACTGAGAGCAGGTGTAATGGGTCAGAAACAGTCTAATTAATGGGAAAACAGTGAATGTTATGTAAAATAAAAGACTAGCTTGATCCTAAACACTTCCTAATTATAGCTTGTGGCTAATTGTGTGACTGTTATATACTTTGATTAGTAGTTAGTAACTCATATTGAAATCATATCCCAACTATTACACAGTATGAAGTGACCTTTGACACAGTAGGTCATGCTCATTACACAGTATGAAGTGACCTTGGACACAGTAGGTCATGGTCATTACACAGTATGACGTGACCTTGGACAAAGTAGGTCGATCGTTATACAGTTGTTAATAGTTTTATTTGTCCTTGACTTCTGATTTATATTTGGCCCTTTGATGTGATGATACAACGTGATTAATTATTATGATTCAGAATGTTCATGAACATAGAACCTTGGATAACTGTCAGAATTACATAATATAAAGACCTTATCAAATGCCAAGAAACTTTCTGAAATCATTTAGAAAAATTATAGACAGATATTATATTACTGCTTGTATATTTTAACATGGTGGTCAAGCTCAACATAAAATTCCATTACAAAGAGAGTTACTCTCTATCAAACACTTGTTGCCCTAGCCATACCTTTCAAATGTTTTCTAGCCATAGTTAGAACAATAAGTATTGCATTTACTAAACATACTGGCACAAAGAATTATCTAAACATACCTGGCAAATGTTGTTTTAGCCACATCTATACTGACAAGTGTTGTTTTAGCCACACCTATACTGACAAGTGTTGTCTTAGCCACGCCTGTACAGACAAGTGTTGTCTTCGCCATAACTATACCAACAAGTGTTGTCTTAGCCATAACTATACTGACAAGTGTTGTCTTAGCCACACCTATACTGACAAGTGTTGTCTTAGCCACACCTATACTGACAAGTG